GAAATGTTTTCGCTTAGGACTATATTGTCTTTCACTCACAAACAAAAAAAGATAAAAGTTGACTTCTATACACACTATACTAAAAAAAGTATGTATTTAAAATAACTCGTAACATAGATTAAAGAAAAAAAAAAAGGAAATAACATACGAATATTCTTCTTCCCCTATTCCCTCTCCTCCCTACACCGGGGTTAGAAAATTTCGTTGCGCAGGTGTATAAACCAATCTACAGACCAAAGTCATAGACCCACACGTAACTTGGTGTATAAACAGTTTACATCTTTCAAAAAACAAAACCGCTTGGGTTTGTTTATGTGGGTCCAATTAGTAGTTTTAGGGTTAACAATCTTGAGAAAGATCAGTGCAGAGCGGAGTTTCTCGACCTTTTACACCTCAAGGTCAACTTGGCTGCTCGTCTCACAGGTTGAAAATCACCGACACGTGGGTAAACGTAATGATAATGAAGCTAAGCCTAAGATCCTCTATTAAGCTTCAAAAGAAACACGAGCTTGCTCAAAAGGCCAGTTCTTACGAAATGAAACGAAACCAAGCAGTCTTACCTTTTTCGGAGAATTCCATTCTTAATTCCAATGTCTTCCTTGAGCATTTCTTCTGTCAACTGAAGCAGAAGATCGCCGTCTACTCGACTATTAGCAAATTCGTTGCAGTACTGGGAGAAGCTAATCTATACACGATAAAAACATTAGATCAACTGATTAGATCCATTGATTTGAAACATAAGAATTTAATACGATCATACGTATATATATATATATATATATTCTTAGATCACATTCAAATGTTTCATACAACATATATTATTTATTCTTATAAAAATGATCATGATCTTATATTGGCTCTGTTTCTCTCACTTCGATCTGTAAATCAATCGATAATATATTAGTAATATCTATCAATTATTATTTTTCTGATATTTTATCTCTCTTCATCTGTCTATTTATCCATGATCTATCTATTCCCCGATCAACAACGCAGTAAGTAAAACACAGAATTACCATTAATGGACTTCCAAACGTTTACCAAAGTCCTCGCCAAACTAGTTTTTACCTTTACCAATACACACACAGATGTTAGTATCTCCTGAAAAGGGAACCAACCGATCCTAATTAACATAAACGGTGTGTTTATATTTGTTATTCGTTCCATGCCTTGTTTGCCAATTTCACCCATTAAAAACTCGATAAAATCTTTATGTTGCCCAGTAAATATCTGTTGAGCTTATAAAAAAAAATGTTGGCTCACCAGGTCTTCATGTAATTTTCGGAACAAAATTATATTCCCGACAATGATAAACTTGGTCCATAAAATGTAAACCAGATATTGGGTCGCTTGGACAGTTTCCATGTTAAGCCTCAAAATTCACAAACAGGTTTTCACTCCCCCTCCTCTTGCCATTTCGGAGTGCTTCAAATTCCGTGCAAATAGACAGCTCTCGAGCAGGAAAACGCGCATTGAACGCGCGATTTCAGACATGAATATAGGTATTTTTAAAACGGCCACGGAGAATATGTGAAAGTACAACGTAAATGACCCAATGGATAAAATTTAGCAGAACAGTCTGGAAGGGCGTTCCTGTTCTTCCGATTGAATTGTAGTAAACAGCACAAATTTACGTTTGAATATATTCTCAGGGAGTGTATATCCTTTGTTATAACATGCCGCGTTATGTCCTTAATACACTCTTGACTTTCACTGATCAGGTCCATGTCGAGTGTCAAAGATGTTTTTTTTTAATTCTTTTTGATCTGATCTTATCTGCTTCCTCTTAATTTGGTCCCGCTGTTTGTCTGTAAATAATTTTCAACTATATAATTAGTACTGATTCCTTTTTCAAACACAGCTTTTCCCATTATTGTGTGTTGTTTGTTTTTAATTTCGGGTAAAGCTACGCGAGTACTATCTGCGCTAACTGTCCCTAATAGAGCAGTGATAGACTAGAGGGAAGACACCACCCACCTCCAACTCTTGGCCTACTCTTTTACCAACGAATATCGGGGTTGACTGTCACATTATAACGCGCCCACGGCTGAAAGGTCAAGCATGTTCAGCGACGGGGATTCGAACCCGCGGGTTGCAAGTCAAGCGCCCTAACCACCAGATCATGCTAGGCCTTAAACTCATTCGAATTCGGTGGAATAGCAACGAGACCGAGAAAGTCAGAGACAATTGAACTAACCTCTGTTAAGCAGATCACTGTTCTACGAAATATTGACCTTTACACTATGCACGCATATCACTCGATCTTAAGTTTTTGTAAATGGAGATCAAAGGTCAGAAATGTTTATGTGTATACATATAAAATCAAATGATGAACTATACTGAAACTACTAATGAAACTAATTAGGCCTTACAAATCAGAATTCAGTAATTGTTTTACCAGCCACTAAACCTGAAAGAACGCTACCCTGGTGGTGAAATTAGAGTGATTTAAATTTTAAATCGTAATCTGTGCAGTGATCGAGGCACCATCTGTATTTCAATGTTCTTTATTTTATATACGGAAGTTATCCTCTGTGTAAGTGTTTTTTGTTTTGTTTTTATCATCAACATTTATAACTGTTATGTTTGGCATGCAACATTGCGTTAGTGGAAAAACGGTTAAGCTAGTGTGGTAACTAGACTTTTTTTTAGGCCTAACAAGAAAAACGTTAACTACACGTTTTATTGTTTGTTTTTATCATCAATATTTATAATTGTTCTGTTTGGCATGCAACATTGCGTTAGTGGAAAAACGGTTAAGCTGGTGTGGTAATGAGACTTTTTAGACCTACCAAAAGTAACAAAATCCGTTAATTACACGTTTTATTGTGTGTGTGTTTTTTCATACCTGTTATTAAAATTTATTGATATTTTGTATGGCATGTCGCATTGTTGCGCTAGCGAAAAAACGACTGATTGTCGTAGCACAGACATTTTTTCAGGCCTAACAAAAGTGATTTTAAACCTGTGTTTTTCCTTTGATTTTTCTTAATTATGGCAAAAAATTTTGAAATTTATACAACCTTTACTTGAAATACGCAATGGACAAAATAAAGAGATACGAGAAAAAAAAACCAAAAACAACTGCAGTCAACCGTGATTGTAATCAGTTTTGTTAGGCCTATTATGTCACATTCGTATAGCGTAAATATTTAACTATTGTTATAATTTCCTGTTACAAACTTTGGCGCTAAATCTATTTATATGACGCCATTGTTTGATGTAAACTTTCAATCCTCCATAACAAAGATATGGGCCCGGATATCAAAGAGCATCAACATTTGAGACCTATGAGGTTGGTGAAATACTGTACTATCAAGATATTTATATGACTGTTAAAGTTGTTGTAGTACCATGATACTTCGATGTCTATAATATAGGTATAATATTTAGAATGATAATAGACATAGTCATAGGTTTGTTGGGTGGATCGAGCTCAGGAAACCATAGAGCTGGGCATAGAAAGTTGGGTGAAAATAAAGAAGAGAACACTTCTTTCAATAAACCGTTTAGTTTCCTTTCTCGGTAAGTCGTTCTAACACGGAGAAAATGTCAAAAGTTTGACCCTTATCAGAGCTAAAGAAACGCAATGATTTGGCGGAAAGGCGCACCCTGTTTTCTCTCAATGACAGCCATTTTCAACCAACTCTTAATTATTCACAAGTTACTTACTATTTGGCATAGCTTCATTTGTTCTTCGTGAATACTCTTGTATTGAATACGATATTGCGTTGTCGAAAAAAATTTCAAAAGAAAAACATTAATATATAGAATATTTCGAGCCAAATTTAACATTTTGGGCAGCTAGGCCTAAAACTTCATTCTTATAAGCGTGGTGTATAGTAATTCCAGGAGGTGACGTAGAGTTCTAAGTCTCATACAAGAGCTACTTACACATAGCCGTCTTTAGCTAGTCAACAACGTCCACCGCATGTTCTTTAGTTACTCTTGTCTGATCGTTTAATGAGGTTTGGCTATCAAGCTTATAACATACCTGCGACACCAACGTGCGGAGCGCGTTTCTGTGGCAACGCCTCGTGAACCGTGATTTATCGGATTCACAATCTCGGCACGAGCCCACTCGACCACGCCTTGCCCCTTCTGCACGTTTGCTACCTAACGTTTCTTTTATTCAATGAACATAAATAACTCATACATATTCACTGATTAAAAGATAATGTACAATTTTAATTAATCTCCCGACATTTTGAGGCCAGGGTTATTTAACCTTTACGTCATAAGCTCGTGTCACAAGGCCGACAACAGGTTTAGGTAGTTCAGGTGTCACCTTTTACTTGTCTGGTTTCAAGAAGTTGAGGTCACGGTGTTGACAGTAGCGACGGTGGAGGCGGTAATGTGAGAAAAAAAAAACAAACGTGTCTGCAAATGTGTGTAAGGTAGCAAAGTTGATGTGTTACTTTTAATCCTTACAGTCTTTAACCACCTTATATCCAGAAAATGAAAACGAATCCAATCTCATTCTCTCGTTACCAGCCGAGTAAAACTGGAATTTTACTGATTAGAATATTAAAGGTGGTCATTGTTATTCTTTAGTGAAACCAAAAATATTTGAAAAGGTTTAAGAAAGGTGAATTCTGTAACTGAAGTTCAAAATTTGAATCCATTAACTGGCTTAAATATCAAACACTAAAAAGAAAATGAAAACTAATTAAATCTAGCATTATGGTCAATATCTATCGGGATGTCCCACGGCGGGTCAGCGGAAAGTTTACGCACTTACAACGCTAAAATCTGGGGTTCGATTCTTTGCGGTGGACAGTTTGTTTTCAATTTCGCACAAAGCTACACGACGGCTATCCTCGCTTATGGCTATCGTCCATAGTTTAGCAGTGAAAGACTTGAGGGAAGGCAGCTGGTCATCACCACCCACCGCCAACTCTTGGGCTACTTTTTTTACCAACAAATAGTGGGCGTGACAGTAAAGCACAACGCCCTTAATAAAAAGGTAATTTTTTGTATTCATGAAAGAAATGTTTACATCTTTTTAAAAAAACAAAGATTATCTAACGTGAATTTTTTTCCCTGATTACGGTATTTCTGTGGAACAATTAATATTTATAGGTGACATAAAAAAAAGGATGTGTGTGTGTCGAAGTCCGAAGCCGGATATGACGTGTGCTTCTTGATGACCTTTAAACGGATGTTAAAATATTCGGCACTTCCTTCGAGTTAATTCATGTGCCTCACCAGTCAAACATTTGACGAAAATAGCCGCTGCTATACTACCTGTAATTGTTGTACACATTCATCCGGTGGTACGTTCAGTGTACAAGGTAGCTTTTGGTAGATTGTATGTTTTGTTGTTGTTTTTATGTTGTACAATATGGTGGGGTTCACATATCGGGTTATTTATGTCTGTTACA